CACGGAGACGGCATATGAAGCATTCATGAAGCTAAAACAGGTTAGGCGTAGATCTTGGGGGGGGGCTACCATATATATATATATGCATATATATATATATATTTATTTATTTATGCATTTATTTATTCATCTATTGTTATAGAGGTGTTGTATCTCTACCCGCTGCTTCTTCAGGGATTACTACACTATTGTAGGCTAAAGAATGTGGCCAATCAGAAAATGCAGGCATAATGGCCACACATAAATATATATATATGGTATATATACACACGTAAACCCCCAATCTAAACCCTAAACTCCAGATCCTAAGCCCTCACCATCTTCTGAATCATGTAACACCATATCATCAGTTAACACTATTACAATTGATTGACTACGCAATGCTCTATTTTGAAATTTGCTAAAAACACTGTAAGAAACAGGCCTCAGGACAGTCAGCTCTCAACCCAAAAAGAACCTAAGACCCAGAACCCCAAACCCTAGATCTCTGAACCTAAACCTAAAGAACCCTAACCGCAAACCTAGGCCCTAAAGAACCCCAAACCCTGAAATCTGAAGAACCAAAAACCCCAAAACTCTAAACCTAAGCCCTCAACCTGAAAGAACTCAAAACCTTGCCGAACCCCAAACCCTAAACCTCCAAACCTAAACCCAAAAGAACCCTAAATCTGAGAAACAAAAGGAACCCTACACCTGAAAACCTGAATTGTGAAGAAACCTTAACCCAAAACAGCCCCAACCCTACACACCAAAGCCCCAAACCCTGAACCTTAAAGAACAGACCCTAAATGCGAAAGAACCCCAAACCGCAAACCCCAAACAGCCCCAAGCCCTAAACCCTGAAGTACCCCAAGCCCTAAACCCTGAAGTACCCCAAGCCCTAAACCCTGAAGTGCCCCAAGCCGTGAACCCTGAGGAACCCAAAACACTAAACCTCTAAACCTGAATCCTAAACCTTCAAGAACCCAAACCCCAAAACAACCCCAATCCCAGACCCTGAAGAACCTCACATCCTAAAGAACGCCCTAAACCCCAAAGAACCCCAAACCTTTCAAGGTTTAGGTTTCGAGCTCTTTAGGGTTCAGGGTGTGAGCTTTTAGGGGTTTAGGGTTTGGGGCTTTGGGGTGTAGGGTTTGGGGCTCTTCAGAGTTTACAATTCTTGAAAATTTTGGTTTAGAGATTAAGGATTTGGAGCTCGTTCAGGCTTGGGGTTCTTCAGGGCTTAGGTTTTGAGATTTAGAACCTCAAGCCCTCCCAAAAAAGAACCCCAAACCCAAAGCCCTAAAGCAAATTAAACCTCTAAACCTAAACCCTGAAGAATCCTAAACCCGGAAGCCTGAAGAACACCAAACCCAAAGCTTTGAAGAACCCCAAACTTTAAACACTGAAAAACCCTAAATCTTGAAGAATCCCAAACCCTGAACCCTAACCCCTAAACAATCCCAGACCCTGAACCCTAAACCCTCAAGAACCCCAAACCCTGAACCTGAAAGAACCCTAAACCCTACAGAGCCCCAAACCCTAGACCCTGAAGAACCCCAAACCCTGAACCCTGAAGAATCCCAAACCCTAAACCCTAAAGAACCTCATACCCTAAACCCTAAAGAACCCCAAACCCTAGATACGAAAGAATCCCAAACCCTTTTGTAGCCCTAATCCCTGAAGGCCCAAACCCCTGAGTGAAACACCGCAATCCGTACCAAAAGGGTAGAGATGGGCAGCGATGAAGTCAGGCAAACCCAAGGGCAGGGGTGACCCTAAACCGTAAAAGCTGAACCAATGTCTGAACCCCTAGAAACCCGAAGCCCCGCACTGCAGGATTTCTGCACCTATCGGGAAAATTTGTTGTGCTTGGTTGAGGCTGGAGATGGTGAGGGATGGCGTTGGGCTGGTGTAGTGTAGGGGAGGAGGCGGGAGGGGGAGGGTGGTGCGGAGCCACTTGGCAAGCACCATGTACACAACTGTAAAGATGTAGAAACGTGCCTCCACACGTCATGTTGAGATGGCTGCAAGCTGAATGCAGAAGCAAATGATATGACTGTTGCCCACATGCTGGGAGGATACCTGCATATGCACAAGCCGGGCTTGGTATCTGTTCTTTGGTCTGAAGTAGCGATGGCAGCACAAATCTTTTATGGTAGAACTCCAGGGAACTGCAATGAAGATTGCACATGCCTTCTGGGAGGCTGGCAACGGCTCCAGAAAGGAGTGGAAGAATTCAGAATCTAAGCACAAGGGGAAGTTCTTGAGACACCTGAGTGTTGGACAGTCTGTCGAAACTGGTCAGGACGCAAGGCTGCACACCGCTGCACACCATGCATTGCGGCCATTCCGGGAGCCGCACTCGCTGATCACATGAATCATGTTATCAATGAAAGGCTTTGCGGAGATGGATCCATCCGTATCAGCATCTTGGGAGACCAGCAGACCCAACCTGCAGCACTTGCAGTACTTGACGTGCGGACAAACGTCTGGGGCCGTACAGGGTACTTCCAAGCCGCTGACTCTACTGCTGCTGACAATATCGTCCGCAGAGTGAGCACCTGGACAGATTGCCAGTGGTTCTTACTTGTTGCATTGCTGAGCTTGTGCATGCACCTTCCATCTCAGTCTTTCCAAGGTCCGCGCTATGCTACACACTGCATGACGAATCTGCCGCAAAGAGCAGTTGAATCGCGTCGCCAAGATGTAGTCCAACACCCAGGGAAAGTCAAGCAAGCAAACCTATGGCAGGAGATGGCGTGAGGACTCTCAGCACAAGACCATACTGCCCTCGCATGGGAGCCTGCACTGTCATCAGGCAGTGGCTCACCTTTGCGGTGAAACGGAGTGCCTGAACTGCCATGGAACGCCATCTATGCCAGAAGAAATGATCAAAGGCATGCTCCAAGAACGGGGCCTGTCTCCAAAGCAGCAGGGCAAATCAATCTGTTCTGCTACGCTCCGGTCTCTCTGTTAGATAGTACAGGTACAGTGCAGGAGTCCTCGACATCTCAAACTGGAATTGCTATGAGGATTTCTTCGCATAGAAAGTAAACCTGAAACGACAGCCTGCATTACAAACAGCTATGAAATTTAGTAGGGTTGACGACGAGATCGGCCAGTTAAAACATGTTATGCAAGGCTTAATTAAGCTGGAGCTCATCATGTTGTGGTAGCTACGGCTCGCTAAGAAACGCCCCACAGGAGATGTTGCCAGGTGCTACAGGATCCATGCGCAATTGACTTCCAACAATATCAAAGTCTCACTAGCTCTGCCCTTTTCAGAACGCAGGCCACTAGGAAGGTGCAGTAGGGCCAAGGAAAACGATGATGGGCACACGTCCATTCTCGTATTGAGAGATGGCATGGGCCGTGGCTGTTAGCTGGTCAGCTGCTCATATCTAGAGGGTCCTGCTCCAACCACGATTTCGCACAGAATCCAGTATGCGAGAGCGAGCGAACCTCGTGCTCAACTTCACAAAGGAGCTGCAAGGAATCCGGATCGAGTAGCTTCAGGATTCTGAACTCGTGATGTCGCAGTGCATCGTGCTCAGAGTTATAGGAAAGGCCTGGAAACCGAGGGTTGTTCCAAACGATTCCCAGTTCCTTTGCTGCTCGGTATGCATCGACAAAACAGTTTACGTATATCGCAATGTGGTACCCATCATAAGGTATGTCTCCTGCGATCTCCTGGTAGATCAACCACTGTCCTACTCCGATGGGAACCCAGCATTCTCCTCCTTCGGACCCTCTGCGAAATTCTGATTCCGTGTTAAACACACGCTTGTATAACTTTGCTAGGCCCTCTGTGCTTCCCAGCGGACACTGCAGGCGGATGTAAGGCATGCCCATGCACTGAGAGGCCTCCTCGCTGGGCAGTCCCAGCTGCTGCTTTCTGGCAGCTTCGCAATCCAACCAGCCACGAGGTGTCAGCCAGGATTCAGCACGAATGCCATGCGCATATATCTTCACCCCTGTTGGACTTGTACACTGCAGCGCAGCAGGTCCCACACCAGGCAGGGTGCTCATGTGATCTTTCAATGGCACGCCGGAGAAGTTCACCCCAGCCGCTCTCAATGTTGCTCTCAAACCAAGAATGTCAGGATACGCAAGGCCTACTACACCTGCGGGCTTCTGTGCTTCCATCGGCGGTGGCTCACCCAGAGGCATATGAATCTGCTGCAGGCCAGCGTTGGCCCAAACAAGTCCCTTCATTGAACCTCCACTAGACTGCACAGTCTGGCAAACGCCCTGTGTTCGAGAGTCCGGGGCAAAGCCCATGGCTTTGAACCAGAAAGTTTCATTTTCAGAATTCCACTCAGGAACATTCACATTCAAATGTTCTAAGGAAACCAATGTCGTTTTCCTACCCGTTTCAGTCGGCAGCCTCAAATCCAAATCGGGGAGAACCTGCTTCCATCGACCCACGCAGAAATGGGCTGCCAGGTCTACAGCTCTGCTGCTTTCAATTCCCATGGCTCAGATCTAGCTTTTCGATCCAAGCCTTCCACCTGGCCACACCAACAACTAATCTTCAAAGGGTCAAGGCTGACAGCTAACATGCCCCATTGCAGCACGATCTCAGCTCCTTACACACTGTCCAAGTTGACCAAATTGTCTGCGGTCATCAGAGCTGCTCATAGAAAATGGCGTTCAAATGCAATCCAAATACCGCAAAGCAGAGCACTAGACTGAACTTGTCTGGTCTTGGTCGCGTTCGCGCTTCGGTTCCCAGCACGCTGGGACGGCTAAGGTCAGCTATGTACATCTGTGCGCAGAGACGTGCGGAAGTGAGGAGTCTGGTCTGGCAACCTCCTTAAAAACTTTCCCCCTCCACTCTTGACCAGACGCCCTACCAAAATCGAGGTTCTCCCTTCTTGATGACCACTTGCATGGTGCGGAAACCCGAAGTCCGCTTGCTGAGCGGTACCCTACAGAAATGAAGGGGCGCGAATCAGCAAAATTCCTACAGGCAAGTTTGGCCATGAGTTTCCGCAGGTCAGTTCTTCTAGCTCTTAGTGCGATGAGTCTCCAGCAACTCATGACGAATACAAGCCGATTTCAGCCATCCCTGCCAGACTGATGATGCGAGAAGAAGATTCTACGAATAAAAAAGGCTCCTCGGCCTCTCCCCCATGACTACTGCTTTGATAAAAACTGATGACTGGCACTTGGAGAGCTAGCTTTAGCATTCCAGGCTTCAACTGCCTCTTGCCGTGCTCTGTGTTCAGCATTCACTCACGGCGCTGGCAGGGTGGCTTGCGAGGTTCAAAGGCCCAGCATCTCCTGCGACCTACACAAGAAACACTCCGGATGCCGCGCAAGGACGCTCGGAGTATGAGGCATCGAGATGCCCACTACACTAGTACTGTAGACTGCATTCCAACGCCGAATGCAGCTCGGCTTACCCAACATCTTCGCCGGAGAGGCTAGAGCTCCACCTCAACAGATGGTCCCTCCCGAAAGGTAGGGGTCCACATCTGAGAATGACCTGGCTCACCTGTCGCAGTGTTCTTTGACGCGAACTGGCAAGCAATGTACAAGCCGCCAACTGTCGGCATGTTTTTTCGAGATTCATGGCATGTGCATACATGTCCTAAAAGTCACCGCATGGGCGTCTGCAGTGTACCAATGCAAGGCTGCACTCTTAAAGCAGCCTCAAAGGACAGCTTGTTGCTGTCACAAAGCAAAGGCAAGCAAGTACCCTAATGATTCTGCGTTGGAGTTCAGAAACGTCAGTCCACATTCTCTGCTCTTACGCTGGAGGACTCCAGAGGCATCGACACGCATGCGATTCCCATCTCAGGAGAGTTTGGCTCCTGGCATGCACAAAGCTTTGGTACTCCCATAGATCATGCCGTAAGGTTCAAATCCAAGTCCGCCTGGGCAGGAGGCCTGGGCCATTTTGATTGAAAGACCGGGTTTCGGTAGGTGTTCCATTCACACCTGTGCCTCGCGACTTGATCTAGAGGTGGCGTCAGGACCCACCCTAACAATCGATCTACACTAGCACTAGCACAACAATCTGGACCTGTTGACAGAGGCGTTGCTGCCCGCCGACAGACGTGTCTGATCATCTGGGCACGCAACTGCTGCAACGACACACCTGCAGAGTGGAAAGGCTACAATCACCTTCCGCTCATAATTGCTTCTTTGCTGGCCACAAGCTGGCAAACCCTTTTTTTGCACGTTAACCCCAAAAAAATCCAGAATATCAGCACCACAGAGGAGGAATGAAGACAATGTCCTCGGCCACGTCCTCATCTGTAACTGAAGACAAAGGGGATGGCTGGTCAGGTACTGCTGTGTCCTGAGGGCACACCTACACATTATCTAAGAGAACCGCAACTGTATTCAAAAGCTCCTCTGGACATCGAGACTCTGCAGGCTCCGCTGCGCCCGGTACCGGCTCCAACGAGCTGATTGCAGCAGCCATGGCAGGGCCATTGTCAAACGAAACGAATACGATGGAAGAGTCAACGCCGCCCAAGACGGTGCCGCGGGCACCAGCAGGCACGATGATGGCGTGAGGGCTCATGAGGTGATGCACTGCACGCACTGTGGTGCCGGCTTGCAACTCCGGTTGCGTCTGACACCACGGCAGAATCTCAAGAGGCAGCACGTTGCAGCAATTTGGTGCGCCTGTTTCGGACGTCTCAAAAACCACTGTCAGCCTCGTGTCGCTGAATTCTGCCAGAACTGTACCGCGGCAACCAGCGTGGACGACTACTCTGCTGCCAACTACAAGTGACATAGATGCTTGTACCCTCTGGGCGATGCTGAAGCCACCGACCAAAGGTCTCTTTGCTGCGACCTCCCGAATGTTGACACTGACAGGATATTCTGGCATATTTTGCTGGTGTTCACTTTGTCCAGCTGTTGACGGCTTTGACAGGGACTCAAAGAGCACAGTAACTCGGTCTTCTCCCAAGGATCCAATGACGTGCCCAACGGATCCCAGGGGCACCTTCATGTCTGAATTCAACAACAGCTCGTACAACGCTACCACTTGCTGCCGCAAACGGAAACCGCCCGGCAGAGGCAGCATCAAGGCTTCTGGGACCACCTCAGAAGGGCCAAAGGTCACACCTGGTTGAAGCTCAAGCAAACTGCCCGGCCAAAACAGCCTTCGCTAAAAAAAACAACAACAGCACTCGTTGTTGATGAGCGGGGTTTCCGGGTTTTTAACATTTCCGTGTATATGAGGGAGCTCCAGCTTACATCATCTTACATTCGGGGTCTATAGCTGCCTGACAAATCAACGCGAGCACTCGATCCTCCTCGTGTCATCATAGCTTGCCTAGTCAGGTGACTTCATGTTCAGAGGTCTCATCAGGTTCTTTGGCGTTAGCTTCGCTCTGAACTAGCGATTTCCAAACGTCACGTGGAACAAGGGTAGCTTTCGGTTTCGCTAATGAGCAGTGCGAATATGACACGTAAAAAACAATTCTCAATGGCTTTTGTTTCCTTCGGTCAATAGAATAGCACGAGGCAAAATAAGCAAAAGCTGCGGAGGCGGTTCAGGACAGAACAACCTTGACGAATCCTTGGACTACCTTCTTTTCTTGGGTGAGATTACTCAAAATGCATGGATCATCCAAGTCACGTTGACACAAAGGTCGGACCCATCTTCACGCTCATCAAACTTGACTGTCAAATGGACGCCATCATCACAACTGCCCACAACTATTCCAGGGGAGCCCTGCCGTACGATCACGTTGCTGCCGTACCTTTGAGCAAAATTGCATGAAAAGCGAACAGACAGCACCTGTAAGACCTTAAAATGAGCAGCAGTATGTCACGGCTTGCGGCAATCTCGTTCCAGGCCTGTCAAAGGCACAGCAGTCCCTGAGATGCCAAGCTTAGTTGTTGCTGCCGCTCTTGCGGGTTCCTTGACTTAAGGCTTGCTTGGCTTCCTTGCTGTCTGGGTAGTGCAGACAACGAACGCAGAAAGGAGTTGAATTCCGGTATGGCACAGCCTCGTGCTTTGCAACCACTAGAATGCACGAGCACAATGGGTAGAACATCCGGTATCATCCGGTGTCTGTCGGATTGCCTGAAAGCCACCCAGCTGGTCCAGCTCTTGATCGTCTTCAGCAGCTTCCTCCACGAGGGTGCAGCGCAGCTGAACCCCGGGACAAGTAGCGGTAGCAAGTCCCGGGTCCTTTAGTCTCGCAGCTAGTCGTTCAGGCACCAAGGTCTCCATCGCAACGCGTAATGCTATGGAATGCTTCGGAAGACGATATGGCACCTGACAGCACCCAGCCTACAATCCGAAGTTGAGACAGTAGTTTCTGCTCAGCGGGCCTTTTGCATGCAACCACCTGGACATCGAGGAATGCCGCCAGATTGGGCGTTTGTTTTTATCCAGAGACGGACACATTCCTGTTGCATAATCAACGGCGCTAGCAGGAGTATGGCAATGGATGGCACTGGATTAGACTTGGAATCTTGCCTTGCAGAAGGATCGGCCGCAACAAACCAGCCTTGGCTGAAGTAAGGTCGTGATAACAACAAGATATGAACTGACTGACAGTCTGACAAGTCATGAGCTGGACTGTCATCAAGACGGGGAACGTTGTTGGCACGACCATGAGGTCTTCGCAGATGCCGCAACTGAACAGTTCGGCTGCTTCTTCTTCTGACGCCATTGCCCTTCAAAGCACAAGGACAACAAAATGCTGAACCGGTCTGGAATGCACTTTCCAAGGACCCAGCTTGCCAAAGGCTCTTCTGGCCACTTGCTAAATGCGCCTCCAAATTGACGTAGATAATGCCCAAAGCCAAACAGCTAAGCGGATGCATTGCGTTGCAAGCATGAAAGCAGGCATTGACTCATGGGTCAAAAACTCTTGCTACATTCTTTCCGCCTGCCAGATGTAAACTTTGAATGCTGACGGACTCTTGAAAATTGCTGGATACCGCAGACTGCACGGCATTAAAAGCTTGAACGTGCTGACAACTCCGAGCTTCTCTATGGGTCCCTTTCAAAGGGCCCACGTCTGCAATGCAGTCGACAACATCTACTCCCTCAAGTTTGCAGAAGTCTCGAGAAGCAGTACACGTCGTATTATCTTAGTGACACAGTGCTCAGATCCAATCCGACTGAGAGCAGCAGCTCCTCGAAAACTTCTCACCTGCACAGGAAAACGATCAGAAAAGACTGCGCAAAAAAGGAGCACTGAAGGAATCTGTGATGGCAAGGGCTAGGAAGCCTTAGCCGGTTTCCTGGCAAAACCTGTTCGACTAGTTTACTGCCATTTACTGCCGTCCAACTTGCTTGCCTCATGTCCTGCCGTGGTGTTGCAGGAGAATCTAGCCAGGTCTCGTTTTCAAGTGCAAGGAAATGCAGGCAGAAACTGTAGTGATACCACTTTCTGATTTTTGCAAACATTCCATTTGGAGGGTTTGGGCTGACTTGATTATCAGATGATGTAGCCGTTCTGCATCTCTCAGAGGCAATTCACTTCCTACGAGCAGCTGTGCCTGCATCACCCATTCTCGAGTGCCAGGTTCACCAAGCTCCCAGAGGAGTCCACCCCTCAGAAGCACAATTGCTGAGCAAAACGCGTGCGGGTGCGCACGTCCACGCACGACCACGCCTCACATGCGGAAGATGCGGAAGAAGGCTGTACAAACAGTTACCTTTCCGAGATTCCGGAATGAAAACTGCACAGCTGTCACTCCGTAAAACGGCGCCTTACATAATGCCACATGTGCCACCAGATTTCTTTGCCGCTGGCTGGTTCAAGTCCACCTACCATCAGACTGCAATGCTGCAGTACAGAAAGACGACGCAACTGGCGTGCCTTTCCCTCTGTCAGCTGCATATCGGGCTCCCCCTGACACATGCAGGTATTGGGTGCAGAATGCTTCAGCTGTAATCTTTGACTATCCCTGATTCCTGGATTTGAGATGCTCCGTCTTGGGTCTGCCCAGAGATTAAAGCATGGCAAGTGGTTTCCTCGACGTACGTCAGGGAGAGCCCGTTGGCTCAGTGTCGCTCTCCATTTGGGTTGTCTGGCTTGTACGCATCGAAGAAGACATGGCCTCATGCATCATCCAAGCAACACACATGCAGGGCTTGTAGATTGTTAGCTGCTGGCCCAAATGTGAGGCGCAGCGGTTGCAGACTATCTCCAAACCGCCGAACTCCGGGACTGTGCCCACATGGCAGCCGCCGGCTTCCTTGGTAAAGCTTTTCCATTCTGGCCGGCCTTGCGAAGAAATCTGTTGATTGTCCCTGCCTCCGAGAAGTAGCATGTCTTGAAGACGGGCCAGCCACAATTACTTCGGAACTTCGAGTTTGCTGAGTACAGCCTGATTCATGGCAGCCAAGTCCCCCACCCTGCACTGGCTAGTGGACATCTTACAATCACATGCTGCCAAAGCTCGGAAGACCACAAGCGCCACAGGCGAAGTACCCCTGACCAGTCGTTTCCAGGGCAACCCCTCTGGCAAGTTGTAGTCTGAAAGCATGTCCAACGGTTTTACTGCACTGGCCACGAACAACAAAATCGCTGCTTTTCGAAGGGAAACCAAAACAGTTACATCACCTCAGACCTCATAGCCCGATTCCTGGTTCCAGTATGTGTGTGAGCGCAAGCCTTGGTGGGCATAAAGCGGTCGTACTGGTGGGATCCCGGCGGCTCAGTGCCCTGCTGCCGAAGTACCTCAGTTCCTTCAAGCTGCTTCCCTGCAATCACTTTCCAACGCAGCCAAGAAGCGCGATAAGCACGGGGGTCCAGCTTCTCCCGCCACTCTGCCTGAACTCTCGTGTGGTGTGGCCAGAACAAAAGAAAACATGACGCGCTCCGCCTCAGAGCGCTGGATTTGGAAAGACTTTCCGCTCAACACCTGGGATGCTTCAGGGAGTGTTGCTTCGCATTGCTGGCTCGCTGCGGCGGAAACAGTTGGGCCCTTTACGTAGGTCAACTCCTGCACCACTTGCGCATAGAATGAGGGTCAGGCTTTGAGCATCGAGTCGCAATAAATTACAGAAGCAGTGGACGATGAGAAACACGAGGAGTAATCAGAAAATGAACGTGTCACAACAGAGTTACATGCATGGAAATAGCGCCAAGCCCACAAAGGTTGCACGCAGCGAGCGTCGCTGCAGCCCGAATGGACCCGACGCGTGCTCTCCGCAAAAAAAACAGTATTTGATTCAGCTGTCGTCCAACATCATTCTTTATGGGTCGACCAGCTTGTTCTGATAAGGCGTCCCACATGCGAAGGGATTGTAGAGTTTTCAGGATGAGCTTCCTCACCGCACCTTACCCACAGGATGATAGTCTTGCAGAGCCTGCGCAATTAGCTCTTGTAGTCGAACGCGACATGTTTGCAATTCTTCAAGATTGCAAGATATTGCAAGCGCAACTTTTCAGTGCTGGCACGTGTAGTCACGCTTGGGAAGCGCTTGCAAGGGTGAGGCTGGATCATTTCTCTGACTTCAAGGGGGGCATTGGTAAACGCGTGTCCACTTCTTCGCTGCACCACAGACCTCCCAACCAAGCCTGACGCCGAGCAGACCTAATCGGTAGCATGTGCCTTTGGTGCTGCGTCAAAAGATCGTCAGTTTACAGTGTTGCAAAACAACCCCTGCGGATAAAGATCTTCTTGTTCACGTTCATTGTTGGCGTTTGTGCTTCGAGCGAGCCTGCCAATTTCCGTCAACCCTTAATCATACCCCGAAAAACTGATGTGGCTCACGCCGCCATGTCACTCTCAAAGTCACCTTGGCAATGATGATGTGCTGGTCTTGCTGCAGCCTACTGTTTCAATCCCCTTCAGTCTCGCAGCCTGTTCAAACTTGTCCCACAAGCTGCGGAGCTGCATAAGTATCATCAACGCTTACAAGCCAGGACTAGTCCACCAGTTCCAAATGCCCTGTAATCGCACCTTGGGACCAGCTAAGCGCACAAGCAGCTAAGAAGAGCATGGGTGCAAGTTCCCCACCACCACACATTCGCCTACCCCTCCCAGCCTGGACAAAGTGTAAGCTATGGTGCAGCAAACAAATACAGCACTGGACGAACCGACTGCTTCGAGTCAGTAAACCAAGTGATTACCAAACCGAGTTGGTTCAGGCCTGCAATCAAGCAAAGGATGATAACTCCCATCGAAAGAATTAGCTTGAAATTGCGGTAAACATGGCCCTGCACACGCCTAGCACGTGACAGCCTGGACCCCACAAACAGCAAGCAGAAAATGCCAAGGGTACAGACCTGTTTCAAGCTGCCTTGCTGTTCTATCGCAAGTAGGTCGTCACATCCACCAAGACATTGTCCGCGAACGAAAATCTCAGATGTGGAAAAGCATTTTGATGGGGCTGCCAAACCAATTGTCCGACAAAAGCTTGGCAAGGCAAGTAGCGCGAGGGACCGTGCGAGCACCAGTCATCTCCGCAAAGGCATCCTGGACAGTTCATGGCACGGCACCTTGTATACTGACATAGTGCATCTCCGCATATCTCCGCAAGGCATGCAACATCATCCAGCCTGCATTGCTGCAGCCTCCTACAGAACAGACTCAAACTTCTGCCGTTCACGAGAAAACGGCAACCAGGTTGATCATGTTCTTGCCTGTTGCGGGAGCTCATCCAGTTCGACCACGACAAACTTGCTGCCAGCTCCCTTTAGCACGTCCTTGGCCTCACGGAAGTCAATTCTGCGAAAGTCTCTCCCCAAGCTAAATGAAGCAGAGAAGGACAACTTCACTCAAAGAGGAGTGCCTGGCTGCAAAACGGGCATGTCGTCTTCGAGAACATGATAACATTGTGCTCCTCCATCAAAATCATCAAAACGGTGGGAAAACACAGCACATGTAGATTCACGCTTGTGGCGAAGCTTGAATTTGCCACGCGGCGAAGATGGCTCATGTTTCAGCACCCCGTCCTGAATCATGTTCTTCACCTTCTGCTCGGGTGTCATCGTCTCTGCGGAGACTGCAGCAGCACGTCTGGTGCTAGCACTGGCCACGGAACCACCTGTGGTCAGGCACGGCTGCATCCTCCATAGGAGCGGGAAGCTCGAGGTGCAGCCCAGGTGACCAGCAAAGCCCAAGAAGGGGGCCACCCGCTGCATCATTCCCTGCCAAGCTTGAGACTCCTCTCAGAAACTAAAAGCTTTGATGCTTTGATGACCTGACGTGATGGCGCAGGCGCTGCAGGCGCTGGTGCGAGCCCATTGGGCCGAACGGCTTGCTGCGCCTCAGCGACTGATCCTTCCCTCATTCATTGACGCAACATGCTGCTCTGACCTGCGAAGCAGTTTTGGCTGCGATTGGCCCGGATCGTCCAGCGATCATGAGGGCCGCCTGCTTCAGGCATCTGATCCGTGCTGAAAGCAAGTAATGGCGGCAGTGTCGCGCACAGGCTATGGTATATCCACTGATGGAATCTGATGCAGTTGCTGACCTTACGCACCTCAACCCTTTCTTGTCATCATTGCGCAGTCTTCACGACAAGTCTTCCTCAGCTTGAAATCGAGCAACCTGTCTAAGCAATGGGATTGTTGGCCTTTGCCTACGCTCACACCACGTTTGCTGGCAACGATTTTTGCAACTTCGATTCGGCCGTGACAGGATGACGGATGACGTTTGTGTCAACGGCATGCTTCGGCTACAATCGAGGCACGATCTGGGAATGGGAGGGAGCACGAATCAGGTGTACGCAGGCGGATGCCGGGAAATGCATACAGCCCGTGTTGGGAGCACATGAATCATGAACCTTGGACCCACGCCCCTGCCAGCAGCAGCAGCCCACCATGGCCGCTACCACCAACGCCACCACCACCACCACCACCACCACCACCACCACCACCACCACCACCACCACCACCAATGACAACAACGCCGACGACGCCGCGGCGGCAGCAGCAGCAATCGTCGTCGCCACGGCGGAACATGGTAGTAAGGATGAAAACAAGAACGAGCATGTTGACTGCAATCAAGATACCTGACAAGGATACTTTACAATGAACCCGCAACGTGGGTCTGGGGTATGCAGATGGTTTAGGGCGCAGAACTAAATCTTGAGGAGAAGCTCTCCAGCAGCGTCTGGAATGCCAAACAAGCAACTTAAGACTGACCAAAAAACACACAGAAGCAAACCAAAACCGAGTATATCTCGTCAGGAGATGTTGCATGCTGCTCAGATGAGCTGAGCGTGAAACAATAGAAAGTGCTTTAAGCAGGCTTTGCGCGGCCTGCTGCCTGGCGAAGAGGCGGCTGGAGCTCCCGTATGGGCCGTGAGGCCTCCTTTTGGGATGTTCACTCCCTACAGCCCATATGTCTGCGGAACATGCAGCGAATCCAAGTAGGTTTGAGAAGATGCAGAGAGGGAGCCGGATTTCTACGAGTAGGAGGATTACCTATGCAGGAAGGCAGCTTTTGCAGAATCTAATGTCGCCGCTGCTTTGTCAGCATCTCAACCTTAGACAACACAACGCACGAGCATTCAAAAGAGCCGGTCTCGTTGCCATCCTGAAAAAAGTACGAGCCGCAGACCTCATCCAAACAAGAGTGCCTGCACGTTGTAAGGGCTTCCGTTGAGCTGGGCTGACAGCTGCTGAACCTTGCGCGAGATATCACGATAAGCGAAATCAATGCTCAGGCTTGTATGGGTCTCTGCCTTGATGGTTCTCGACCCAGCATGCGAGCACACCGTCAACCTGCATAACATGCGGCAAAGTTCATAAATTTGCAAAGCAGCTGCTTCAAAAGCCCTTCGTGTAAGGGTCTGACAGCTGTTGGAAAAGATTCTGCTCATCAGTTGTGAACTCACCTTGGCCCGTTGTTACGACCGAGTCCATCATGCCGCTATGTTCAGCATGAGACCGACACATGTGAGTGCCTTTTCAATTTACCATTGCACATGGCCGGGTCAAGCTCCTTTGCAAGCGCCTCTTTGACATGTTACTGTCTTGTTATTTCAGCTGTCGCAGTCGATTTAATTGGATGCCGCTTGCCTTTTCATCCTCTTGCAATTGGAAGTCAAGCTCTGCAAAAACACAGCGTGTCGCCATCCAGCTGTCACAAGTAGCATAGTTCGATCTTGCATTCTGTGCGCCAGGTGAGAAGGCCCCTGTTTCTTGAGCAATTCATCACATACCGCTTCACTAGCAAGGTAACTTTCTGCCTTTAAACTGTTCATCTTCAGGTACGGATAACCTTGACTTGAGATGCGTACTTGACTGGGTTGCTCCATCTGGAGCTCGCCGCTTCTTCTCGAGAAGCTGCACCACACCCATCAATTCCTGGCCACCTCAAGGAATTGCATGTTTTGATCAAACCTATGATTGCACATGCTAAGAAGTGCTGCGCAACACAATTTGAAAAGAACACCATCTCACATGGCAAGGTTGCTGCATTCTTTGCTAGCCGCTTCCTTCCGCTCGAACAGCTTCTCTAAGGAATGGACTGAAAGTATACAAAACATGAAGGAACCCAATCTCGGCAATCACCCAAGATCTCCCATGAGACCAAGGTCACCCTTTGAGTTTGTTAACTCACCTTGACCCTGGATGCTAGCTCTGCAAAGGCTGAAGAGAAGATGCTCCAGCCATCCTCCCTTATGGTGTCAACAACATGCCATGGATTAAGTGATCATCACATCCGAAGCTTCGGTTTTAACACCGCCAACTTTAGTTTCAGGCTATCGAGTGCGCTCGGTCATCCAACTATCTTGCAACGGCCACAATGCTCCCGCAAGACCTCTGTTGCCCGTAAGAGAACAATTCCAGTAGTCAACTTCCGGCGCAGCACCGATACATGGGGCAAACACTTGAGGTGCCGCCCTCTACAGCACCTCATTTTTCTTTCATCCAAATGGAACCCCTGGCACACATTCAGACACGAGAAAGTACATGAACACACCTTGCGCTAGGCCAAGGCGCCCCATCTGTCATCTCCGCGAGAAGACTCCACGAGCATTGGCCCCACAAGCATCGCTGCATGGCTGTTCACCTGCAAGGATGCAACAGAACACAGCCCACACATTTTTGGAGGTGCTCACCGGTCTGCCATTGCGGTGCAGCCCGTCCGTCACAGGCTCGACCTCTGAAGTTCAATACTGCAACGACTCTGATGTCACTTGCGTGGAAGCGCAGACGGCTTGTTCTTTGTAAAGGACTGTTGTGAGACCGCCCGCCCTTTCGTCTATTCCCAACACTCTGTGGAACACTAACTTGAGTGAATGCGGGACTTGAAGCCGTGGCATCAGCCGGAAAGAGCTCAATTCGGTGCTGTAGCAGCGTCCTAAAGACTTTTACATGTTTTGCGCATTCATGCATTGTGTATGTTTCAAAGCATCTTTCAGACTGTTGGATTGTTATTCCAATGGATTCTGCAAAACAAGCTTCAGCAGGATTCCATGACCTACAAACACCACAGTGGGCGCAGCTCTCCATGTGAACATATAGCGTCAGAAATGCTACTCTGTCATTCCTATGTTGCCATTAGCGATCCCCTTGAAGGACCATATTCTATGAATGCGTCCTAAGGTTTTCTGCGTGTATACTTGCGAGAAGATGTTGCAAGACTTCTCCCCGACCAGCTCATATGCCCAGCTACTGAAGAATGATCTCACTAGTAATGGGACTTCCCGCGGCATCTACAAACTCCTTGCAGTGACACTACTATTTGTGATATTCACAGTACAAGCAGCTTGTGAATGGACTGGAGCTCCAGATACTAGTAAGAAGTTCAGAAGAGCTGGCACTCCACTTCTCTCAAGTCAGCGGGGCTTATCATATCTTCATGACATTGCAGGAGAAGGAGAGCCACCCTCCATTCTCATTAGTTCAAAGGTTTTCATAACATGCAGGAGAAAGTTGCTCAAATGCATTGTGCTAAATTTCTATGACGCCCCAATGCTGACGGTAGCTGCGATCCTGCGCTTTGTCTCAGGCGGCAACAAAGGGATTCTGGTGGATATCAGGTATGTGGATGACCTGCGCTGAAGGTGCCAATGCGGAAGGCTTCTTGAAACATTCCATGTTATCCCTGCCTGTTGCTTCTGCGCACACTGGCCCAGGATGCCCTTTGTTAGGCTGATGGTCGTTGCCCCCTGCTTGCGGAGTAAGATCCATTTGTTCTATTAGATTCTATATGCGATAATAGGGCTTAGGTAGTGCTCCATCAAGCTACAAAAAAGGTGCCTTCTTGCGCATCTGGGAAGATGAAATCAGAAGGCTCTTCGAGTCCGGATCAAAAAACAGAACGCGAATGGTGTTCACCTAGCAGCGAGCGAGAAATCAGGCGTAGCCATGGTCAGCGCTCGTCTGCACAAAACAATGGGGGCGCTGCGCAAAAGAACCCAGAGAACAATTGCTTGACCCTTTGTTCAAAGTCAGCCAGGGTCTTTGCCTGCACACAATAGCTGCGCCAGTACAGCCACATCAACACTCAGTATGGCATAGACTGGCAAGAAGGATGTGCTTGTCCTTTCTCATGTGTTTAACTTAACTCATTAGCACCTTATTCGTGAATGCATTTCGAGGAATGCATTGTCGGCATGCCCTTGCAACGTGAGAACTCAAATGTCCTCTGCTGGTAGTAGGCCTTGTTCACATCGATGGCAGCTTCCATGATGTGGCGCGTGCGATCCACCTTTGTCGAAGCCCGAGCATGTTGTGCATGAGCTTCGACGGGAGAATCTTTGGCCCTGAACGGCTTTTGCTCTCTGCTCAAGCCGTTCCACATATAGTAAAACCTGAGCTATTCTCACGGCAACGACCCAAGAAGCTGTAAAAAGTCATTCAAGCGGAAAGACCGGAGGAGAGACAGTGCACACCTCTACCAAGTTCCACAGCTTCATTGGTAGAGGGTCCGGTACACATTCGCATGCCGTTTTTTGAGCTGCGCGTATGTCCGGGGCGCATTCTTGTTTGGGGTGGTTTGAGATTTACGGGTGGGGGTTTGGGAGTTGCTGCTTAGCGTTCAGCTCAGGCTTTTGGATTTTGGGTTGGTGGAGGCCCGTTGGTGGTCGGCTTCGGACATTCAATTTAGGGTTAGGGTGCAGAGTTGGTGGCGTAAGATGTCGGAGTAGATTTTGGTGGCTGAGAGCTTAATGAAAATCCAGCTGTTTTATCTCTATTGTTGTTTTCGTTCCTGCGTTTGTTTTGTTGTTAGGTGTGGTTTTGAAGCCTTCCTGGACTCTCATGCGCCTTTTGGAGGCCTGAGGGAACCTTTTTTCTCAATTTTGTTGGTTTTCGTGATATTGAAGCCTTCCCAGGCTCCCACATGCTTTTTGAAGGCTTCAAGTGGCCCAAAAGATTCTAACGAGATTTGACGGGGAATATGCGGGGAACGCGAGACTCTTTATTAAGGACTGTATACGGAGCATTTTGAGAAACTCCCATACATTCCCCTATCTACAACTCTTAATTCGTGGATTTGGGGGTCACATCGAAAACGTATAAAGGCTTGGCCCAATATGTTTTGGCGTTCACCCAAACCTGGTGCTCGTTACGAGATGAAATCGTGCCAAAAGCGACGACCGATCAACACTTTATGAACATGAGCCGTCAAAACGACAACTCTGCAGTTTGCGACAAGCACACGAACGGGAATGTGGCGGGAGCGCGATCAGGACGGCGAACTGGGAAAATGCTTCACGCTGGAGCACAACACCGAAAACATTTTTCCACGGTATGAACAAGAACCGTCAGAAGCGAAGCCCTCCTTTTGCGGAACGGAACGATCAGATGACATGCTTTTCAGACGAAACGCTGTAAGATAAACACTTGCAGCCGCATAAGCCGGGGGCGGGGGAAGGCGCAGCTCGCAGCTCCCCCATTTGTTAACATGATGATCAGATGTCAGGCTGGTTGCAAGAGGCTTTTGAAAAAGGCACAAGGGACGCAGCCCCCACGTGCGCAAACAGAAGGAACAAATGACATGATTTTCAAACCGAGCCTTTGTAATATACATACATCCTTGCAGCCGGTTGCTTGCACGCTTACAAAAATGGGGTTTGGGGGGGTCGCAGCTCCCGCCATTTGCAAACATGATGATCAAAAGTCATGGTGATTGCGCCAACCCTAACACGGAAGCCAGGGGAAGCTTGAAAACAAACCTGGCCCCATCTCACCCTCCGTCACAAAACACCCCACCCCCCGCCAGTAAATGCTCTAAAACGGAATATCAACTTTTTAGACGGCATGAGTCCTTATTTTCAGCAGTTCGCCGAGGCTGGTCCAGCTTCAGCAACAGCTAACTAGAGTCTTTCAACAGCAGTTTGAAAAATCAGGTGAACTTCAGTGACCGTGTGCCAGTGCATTATCATTCTGTTGAACAGTCCAGTGGGCTCAGCGAAACAATTTTCAGTCTGGCATCAGGCTGTACAGGGATGCAGGCTTAGATGCACTCTGATGATTTTGCTTCAGATGCTTCAGCTCAGCCAGTCCTCCTCAGTCACTTGGCCAGCTTGCTGGAAGGGACTCCAGCCATCAGTGACCCAGTCGATGTCAATGACTTGGGTCTGATGCCAGTACTTGGCAGTAGGGAAGGCACATCAATGCCTCCAGCACTTAACAGCGTCTGTCAGTCAGTCTTCAACTCCAGTGCTTGAGCTTGCGTGCGCTGGCGAAATTTCTTCAGCAGCAGGATGACCATCCTTCCAAACAGTGGCCTCAATAGGATCATATCCCAAGCTCAGTGCATCTGGAATCGTCGAACAGTTGCTGCGGCTCCCAGCCTAACAGTCCCCAGGTTTGATTGAATTGTCATTGAGCAGCCGTTCCACCAGCGCGGCTAACGACACGTCAAGATCAGTGCCAACCGTGTAAACAGTGCAGCGCCTGTTGAACCAGCGCAGTGTCTGCGCACCAGTAGTCGGTAGTCATTGCGAAATAGCGCTCCGACATTGGTCGTGAAACAAGGACAAGCGGCAATTCAGTGCCTCTGCCACAGCACACAACGCCACAGCGCAATTCGAGCGGACAATGCCCAGCTCAGTTGGTCTGAGAATACGCCTTGCAAGTCCCAGTCAACAGCGGCGATCAACAGGTTCTGGCCATACTCAGTCATCGCTGTCAAAACTTGTTTCGCAAGGAGTCCTTCGATGACTGACCAGCACTGGCTCCAATCTTCTGAGCAGCGGCGGCTCAGTATTGCAGTAATCGGATAGCCAACTCATCTTCAGATCTCACATCGTGGTCAGGTCTCACATCTCTGCACGAAGAACCGACGGACGTCCAGGCAACGCGAAGGCACAGCGCACTCCCTGAACAAGTTGCTCCACCCACGTCAGGCGATTTCGCTGCTCCCGAACAACGGCTCGGCTCGCAGCACCTCCAAGTCATGCTGCCGATGCAAAATTTGAAGCCTCTGAACGCGAAGCTGACGACAGTCCTCCGGCCCCTCCGCCACGCGGCGCCCCGCGAACGCTGGGAGCATCGCGCCAGAACGCGCAGGCACACAACTCTCAATACTTGGGCCTCGAGGCTTCTTCACGCAACTTTAGAAGCCTTTAGCGGCCCAAAAAAACCAAATTTCACCATGCATCGATGCTTAAATGGCCACACATATACACGCGCATAGTCTGTCATGGCAAGCAACATAAACGTGGAGTGAAAACAATTTAGAACCAGATCGCAAGCTTGGCTTCACGGCTCCTAGCACGCTAGCACAAGCGCGTTTAGCAGTCGATCATATCCGCGCAATCGGCGTCTCCTACTGCAGAGCCTTTCCCACGCCCCTTCGCCATCTAGCAACGCTTGAAGCGACTCTTGCAAAAGACAGGCACGGCTCAGGCGGCAGAATGCCACAAATAGCAAAAGCCCTTCCCCAAAATCAGAGTCCCTAGCTGAATCACCGTTGACGCAAAATCGCGACACCCAGGCCGAACGCCTATACTTGTGAGATGTCCACCCAGACATCAGCCTCAAACCCAAGCTGCCTAAAGAACATCTCCACATCCTACAGCGGATTGCGCAAATCCTACACTGGGAGGATCTCTCTATGTGTAAGGGCGGCGTAATATTTCCTCCCTTCCCTTTATCGCCAGAAGTCCTAGGCCCTGATTCACATGTAAACCCACGCCCCCGACTGCCTCAAGCAAAACCCGAAAGCCTACTTATAACACAGTAGATAGAATAGAATGTGCTACGCAGATGCAAGATTTCCTCCATCCACTGTATTCCCCGAATGATCAAACAAAAATTTCTAAAACTGCTTTCAAAAGCTGAGGTTGCGCTGCGACTTGTGGCTCAAAAGCTTGCTCCGGCTCCTTTTCACGAGGGTTCCCGTACATTGGACGGTGAGAGAGCAGGCACGGTCGGGCTCAAGCCCTGCAGTCACAAACTTAAGTTTCGAGGGGCATTGTGTAACGGAGTGGTCACCGCGGTTCCCCTTTTGACAATTAGGGTCGTTGCGCTGACCCATCTGGTAGCCATAGTAGACTCTGCGTCCGCACTACGCCAAGCCGAAGCACCTTGACGTCTCACGTCTTTGGGGAGCCAATCGCGCTTTGCACGCTTCCATGTGGATGTCTTTCCTTTGTTACCACCAGGCCTGTAAGGCTCAAACCTTTCACATCGCCCACTACCTTTGCCTTTACCCTTTTTGCCTTTTCCTTCGGTGTCACAGGCAGCGGGAGCAATGGTAACCCTCTACACCAGCTCCGTGGCATGTGACAACAGCAAACTTCAACTTGTTGACTGTGCACAGTTGCAACAAGACTTAGTCTTGACTTAAAGCTCCCCTGCGCAAGGCTGTCCCACCGGGACACCCACCTAGCGCCACCTGGAGACTGTGCGCTGACCTGGCGGCCACAACGATTGCGACCATCCTGAGTGGGAGCTGGGAGGTCGGCCCCATCACAATTCCACAAGGGTGGTCTGACGCTCATCTAGTCTTGATCAAGAAGCCGGGAAAAACTGGGAGAGACCCCAATCACCATAGACCCATTGGATTGCAGGATCAGCTTGGTAAAATAACCTTTAAGCACATCCTCGACCCCTTTCTTGAAGATATCCACTATACGGTAAAACAGTTCCCCCAATATGGTTACGAACCTGGAAGAGACCGCGATGCGCGCCGTAGAGTGTACTCCCATTGCCACGAGGTCAGAGAAGCTTGCCATGGACAGAGCCACTCCGTTCTGCGGAGATTCCAAGGCACCTGTTTCCATGGTTGGAGGTCTTCAGATTACTGTTAACCTAGCAGGTGCGTTCGACGCAATGCCCCGTCAACATCTGTTAGAGGGTCTCCTTGGTACGGGTATCCCACACAAGGTCATAGACGTGGCGATGACATGGCATCAACAGGCGCAACACAGCATAAGACACGACGACAGCGACAGGCATATAGAAGCATCCCAAGGGGTCAGGCAAGGGTGTTCTGTTGCCCCAACCCTATGATTGATAAATTCCCACCTCATTAGTGTTAGATTAGCCAACGCAATAGGCACCACTGCAGCAAATGAGCTCTTGTCGATCTTCGCCGATGACTATCACTGTTCGACGAAGTTCCTGTCATTGCATCAACTTGACACGAAACTCAGCCACATAGGCGCCTTGTTTCGGATACTTAGGGATCTAGGAATGACAATTAGTCACCCTAAATCCAAGGCCATCATGATCAAAGGAGCGGAGAGCATCAAACGCAAATTCATCCGCAAGACGCCACAAGGCCGGGTTCTTAGATTTTCCTTGCACAGGAAGCTATTGACATTCCCCTGGTTGATCAGTTTGTAAATCTAGGTGCAGTTGCCAGCTATGGTCCATTTGAGGATCAAACACTTGACCACAGGCTTCAAATTGGTAAGGCTAACTTCTGGAGGTTGGGCAGAGTGCTCCGCAGCAAACACTCTCTTTCCAAACCACATAGACTCAGCATATGGAGATCATGTGTACACACCGCCAGTACGTGTGGGCTCACCTCGCGCGGTGTCACAGCCAAAGGGTCTCGGAGACTCACCCTTGAGACGATGAAACAAATTCGATTAGTCATTGGAGACCCGGCGCACATGACCCGCACCTCACACGCACAGATCCTTGAGGATTGGAATCTGCAGCACCCAATCGAAGAACAAAAGGCTAGGATGCTTGATGAGAATAGCGCCGAAGACGACCCCTGCGCGCAAAACTCCACTGACCCCTGGTGGAAGCGTGCGATGGAATCTTTCATTGCTCCCAGCGAGGATACCTTGGTTCAAATTCCCTCGCACACTGTAGGCATGGCTTGCCCTACCTGTAGTGTGATGTACCTGGACAGGACGTCTACGCTGATCCACATGTCTAAGGCCCACAAGCAAGACCCTCTTCGCCCAGCCAATCAGCCTGTAACCTTTGACAAAAGTAGAGACGCCAAGAATGGCTTGCACATATGCAAACATTGCGATAAGACCATGTGTGACTGGTCCAGCTTGCGTAAACACATACTTGAGAAGCGCTGCTCTGTTCTGTTCAGCAAGCCAGAATTCTACTATGGACACGGAGATGAGCGATTGTTTCGGGCCCCTGCTCCAGGCGCGCGCAGAGACGATGTCGAAGCGAACAGTCAGGGATCTCGGGAAGCCAAGTCGCAGCGGACAGAGAACGGAAAGGGGCGGGGGCACCAGCCTCCACACTACACGTCTACTTCACGAAGAGGACGCCCGCAAAGACAGGGACAGGACCTGGACCTTCATCAAGCAGTGAAAGCGCAGGCAGATTAGTCATCCAGCCGGAGACCTCCATCAAAGTCTTGCGCCAAGATACGTAATGGGTGATCTTCGTACAACCAGGTCCCCAGAGTTCCCTCCAACTCCTGTTCAAAGTAGGACAAGCCTGGAAAGACAATCAACAAAAGGGCGCCCTTCGTTGCGTCTTGATCACTTGCCTCATGGAACACCTCATAAAGATCCTCGAGGACCTGAAGGGACCCCTGATGGAGAAGGCGCAGACACAGGGATGGCTCACGGACAAGGGATGGCAGCATCAGTCATGGTCTCCAACGACGGGCGCCCTGGTGTTCAACCAGGACAAGGCCCCAGTGCCCACTCAGCTAGTAGTCCAAGAACTCAAGGAGATCATTCCGCTGCTGGCCACCCCGCACATGATTCACAGGTTCCACGCGAACAGAGCTATGAAGGAAGCCTCGGACAAGGTATCAACACTCTCCAAGTGCTCGGTGCTTCAGATCGTAGGGATCCAACTTCGATGAGATTCGCTCCGCCACTCACCGGCGGCCGAGCTCGTGCAGAAATTGATCAGCAACTCGTGAGGCTCCGTCTGTTGAATAGTAGCAATACATGCTACATGAATGCCACTATATTTGCATGGCTGCGTACGACCAACCGACTTGCATGCAATGACAGGCTGACAGGCAGGCATATGGTTCCAAGACTCAGGCACGGCGAGACATTGCACAGTCCCACAGTGGTCCCACAGACCCATGCATGTTCACACCCTCGCATCCTGGCGAAGCATTCTTGCAGGTTGGCGTGATCTCCATCGGCAGCAGGATGCAAGCGAGTTCCTCGAACACTGGGTAGCCGTGGGCCGGACCCAGGCAGTGATTGGTACGTGGGAGGCAAGGGTAGAAAATCAACACCTTATTGAGATTCGACATTATTCATCTACCGAAGTTGCCCTGAATCTTGAACTTGAACAATCCAGTGCTCCGCAAAGCCTGCAACATCTCATCCTTATCTGGCATACCCAGCAACTTGGCATACAAGCCTTGAAGAATCCCCCGACTATCCTTATGGTTAGACTGTGCATATTCCAACGGCTCCAGAACCAGACACACAAAATGACCACCCCTGTCATCATCGAGGCCCGTGTGAACATACCTGTGTTTGATGATGACACACTGCAATGCACAAATGTTCCGTATGATGTCCTGTCTGTGATCTTGCATGCTGGTAGCTCCCCGAATGCCGGACATTACACTACCAGACTCCTGACTGTTGCAGGTGGCACCTCAGTCGCGCAATGGAGTACTGATGATGCGCCAGCCAAACTCATCATGCGAGATATTATATGGGACCACAACCTGTCCCAGCAATCCTATGTTCTTCTGCTTGGCAGGGGGACAACGGAGCACGCGCAGTGAGGGGGCGAGGTGCAATACTCGCGCTGTGTGCGACGATAAAAAAATACCCGGCTGACTGGATGAATCCTGCAGCAATAAACAGTATCGCAACAATGTGATTCAGGTACTCAAGTTTGCCATTTTGGCCACCCATGTGTGTACAGTCTGAGAGCCAGTGAGCCTTTTTGGGCCACTTGTAGAGCGCGGTGTACAGTGGTACATAGCTCCCTGTACAGCATCAACCACTACACCTGACGGAAGATGATAGTTGTGGAGTCATTTTTTGGCCATTCGTGGCATTGACTCCCACAGTGGATCCTTGCGCACATGATGCGCCGGTGCAAGGCCGCCGCCACTTAGCTGTTCACAAGCCGACTCGGACTGGCCGTGCTCGAATACGGAAAGTAGTAGTAGTAGTAGTAGTAGTAATACTAGTAGTAGTAGTAGTAGGAGGGGCATACACTGGCCGGCCTCCATGCAACCTCCATAATTTGCTGTGGTCCAATCTTGGTGTTTGATTTGCTGGTCGCCGTGGGGCGGCGTTTGGTCTTCCGTGCAAAGAGGAAGCCGCAGAGAAACATGCAAACAGGAAGAGAACGAGACACAGAGACACAGAGCGAGAGAGAGAGCACAGGCACAAGGACAGCAAGCAGCACCAGCATGAACGAGAAAGCTCAGGAGACCAAATGACCTCGCCAAAATGAGCGCTAGCTGCCCGAGACACAGTTGCACTGCATGGCTTCCGGACATGCAGACTTGAACCAGAGCACGACGCGGCCTTCAAAAAGCAAACAAGAAGTCTGAGCATTGAGCACCACCAATGAAGCTGCATAACAGCTGCCTTCAGTCATCTTATCTCAACTCTAAGCTTTCAACTTCAAGCTCATGCGGAAGCACCAAGTGGAAGCCGGGCTGCCCGGCAAGTAACTCACATGCGAATCTGTAAATGTAGATTGGCTCGGACCAGTCTCCTGTGCTTTCGGTTTGAGTAGGTTGAATGGCTGCAGACAGAAAGGAGTCTGCTCGCCCCCACCACTCCACGACAGCCCTTGACATGCATGGGATGCTCCAAAGACTCCGAAGTGCTACTGCTGCGTGTGAGCACATACTTATGTCGAGTTCCACAATGATAACCCCTCACTGGACTTGCCAAACTTCTGATGTCCAGCTGCTCCATTCATGTGAGAGAAGAACTGTCTAAGATGGATGGCCAGTCCCTGTGCAAAGTCATGGCCGGCAGTGCATGTGTGAGCAATTGCATGTTATCAGAAGTCCTGGGATACACCCGCGTCTTGGAGCACTCGCGGTACAAAGTTTGCCTTTACAGGGACGGCTTTCTGCAAAAAATGCGTTCATTGACATGAAACAAGGCCGCTTGCAAGCTACCTCATTGTCGGATGCTCGAGTCTCCTGATACAATCCGCAAATACTGCCTTCCCTCCATCACTGGCTACGAAAGCCTTGCCCCAAACAATGGTTCTGCTTGCACGAACAACTGCACAGACCCAACGCAGCTCCTCAAGAAGAACTTGCAAGACTGCCTTTCACAGCATGCAAGTTCTTGCAGGCTCCAGAATAGGTAAGTGCCATTGCAAGGACACTTGCACTCAGGAGCAGTCCCAAACTCGTGACCGATTCGGTGTGAGAACCTGAGCAAACGGGAAAAACAATATGTAGACAGCAGAAAATAGTAAGGCGTCTTGTCCCATCTCCGCCGCCGAGGTCACAGCGGGCAGGGCTGCACAAACCCGAGACCGAAACGGCAAAGCCTGCATTGCTACATGCAGCTTTCTACAGTTGCCACATGCAGCAGGCCCCGACCTGCAGGTCAGTAAACACTGGCGGACACACCTGGCTCGTCGTGACCCGCGGCAGAAATCATTTTGAAACTGATGTTCACTTCGCCTTGCTTTCTTCCAGCCGTAGCAGGGCCTGATATCTGAGCAGCAAAATGCAGCGCCCCTTACACAAACCAATAAATCCCGATCCTGCAGCTCTGTCTTGCCCTGGCCAAGGTAGAAGATCGTGAGCTGCTCTGTCTGCAAACATGGTGGTATTACAATATGGCTTCGCATGGCCGTTCGCCTTTGTTTCGATAAGGCATGCTACATTACAGCCGTGTTACCATTATGGTTGTCACGCTAAGATAACATCTCGACTCTTTCTTTGCCTGGTCGGCACTTGGCTTCATTTGAACAGCCTTCTGCATGGCAAGTGCAATTTGGTCCGAGTATTGTTCTGCCTCACTCACCGTATCAAGTTTCACAATTGTTCCTTTCACTGGAAAAGTGCGATATGGTACTGTTTTTTGGTAAGGACAACTTAGTTTTGCATTCCTGCGGTACCTCCCCGCAGCTTCATATGTGCAAGCTGATGCCTGCCATATGCCTTATGTAAGCGTTGTATTTCTAAACTTTTGGCTGTTTCAAGTGCTACAGGGGTGGAAAGGAGGCTTCCAACAGGCTGACACTCCAACTTCAAAAACCTTGGAACAGCAGCTCGGAAGCTGAGAAGCCAGGACATTGCTCGACCTTTGATCTTGGTAGAAGCTCGGATCGCCTGTGGCCCGCACATACTGCAAAAATAGGAAACCACAGGCTGAGCCGCTCATGAATTGGGCTTCGATGTGCTAGACACAAGTCGCTGTTTTTCAACATCATTCCCGATCCTTCCTGCTTCAGCGACGCTACAGCAGACATGTGGCATTTTGTGCAATGTTAGGACGAGCAACCCATCAACACTGAGCGAAATCCGTGAGGTGAATGTGGAGTGGCTTTCCCTGTGGCACTTGTGGCAGGATGTGAGCCCCATGCCCAATGGGGGCTGGTGCCCAGCAACAATGCACCACATTGCTTTTAGACAGAAACTTACCATATCGTGCTTGTGTTGAAGGCACCAACCAGACTAGGGAGAAGCAGCGGCTCAATGACATGATGGCCCGCTCAGGCCCAACTATGTTGCATAGACGCTCATCATCTTGGGTTGGTAGGATGCTATCACTGAACAAATAAGATAAACTGCTACACAGGCTTGAGAAAGGGCCGATGCATGCTCAGTACCTCCCCGTATGAGCTTTGGATGAGGAATAATGCAAGCATGCAAACCCTCCTGATCAAGCAATCGGACTGTGTCCAAACGCACGCTGGCTTAAACTTTGACCGTCCTCACAAGTGGCCTCGACAAACCTGAAGGCAAACTGGCAGCAGCCTTGGAGTAGTGTCCGGAAGTCACAGCCTTTCTCAACCATGGATCAACGATGAATACCTTCTGCAGACACAGCTCACTTTCGCTGCTATTTCAACTCTAACCATGGGGCACAGTGATGTTGGCCACCTTCCGATCCACCAGCATTCGAGCAGAAACATCAGCTAAAGCCTTCAGCTGAAAACTTGATCATCACTAAGTCCTGGCTGAGAAAATCTAAGTCCACGACTCGCAAGCAAGTCAATGATGATTCGATGTCACGCCAGAACCTCAAAGACACACGAGGCAGCCGAACGATACGGAATCATTTTGGAAACAGCTAGCATTGGCTTCTTCTTGTTGCCAGTTTGGGGATTCCAGTTAGGATGAGACAGGAAAATCTCACTTTGTCAATCACGCATCAGATCTTATGCATGTCCGTGGATTCATGATGTTTGACTACATGTAAAACGATGGCAAATCTAGACAGGTCGCTCTTTCAGGTGCTGGGCTTGTTTGCAAGTTCGCCAGCCAGGCATGCACGGCGGGTTTCAGTGTAAGGGCAAACAATGCGCTCGGGCATGCATGGTACTCGTCTATCTTGCACCTGAACACTTTTCAATAGCTGATGCACCTTTGCTCTCAGAACTTGGTATGTGTACAGATTGCCACCGACCACGAGGGTGAGATCGCTTGGAGCTCATTTTCAACTCATCCAGCTCCTCTTTCTATTCTGTCTGCGAGGAAGAGCCAGGAACTTCCAGCGAGGCTGGCTGCTATTCTGACGCATCAGTTTTGCATATCTGTGCAAGATTTTTCATCGCCACTGGAACGGACGCGAACTCAACTGCCAAGATTGGCATGATTTCCACATAGTTCCATGGCTCCAGTTTTGTTACACGGTCAGCGGTTTGTAGTTCTGAAGTTTGGTTTTTGCACGCTTCGAGGGCTTCGCGGCTGTTGATGCTTCTAGGCTTGCGGAGCATACGTCCTTCAAGATTGCACTTTCACAGGTCTGTTACTTTTTCAGGGTTGGCCACAAGCTGCAAGGCGGCGTTGCTACCTCCTGTGGTTGAAGGTATGCTGCTTGTTTGGTTGAACAGCGAGTCTGTGCTCTGCTTCAAAATCTGGACACCAGGCTGGCAATCTTCCTGCATCCGCGGACTCATGCAAATGTGACATGTAGCATGAGTGATGCCGCTCTCGGTGAGTGCAAGAGCATCACTAACTGGTGAGTTTTATTTTTCAGGATTGCTACCGGCTTCATGCTTCGCAGTTATGAAGCAAAAACACATCTCGTAAAAGTGCGGAGGACTCAACGCAAACGAAGCCACATCAACAGCAAATGACACACACACCAAAACCTGATCATCATTGCTGTGCCAGAAATGAAGCCGCTTGTGCATGTGAAACCACGCATCCAGGCAGGATAGCTTGCATCTTTCACTACTACCAGGTCAGAATTGGCAATTTGTCTTAATCTCTCCCTCTGAAATGTGCGCATTCTAGGTCTTACTCCAAACACGCACAAACCAGCTCAGAGTGGCACAAGTTCATGGAGTTGATGAGTTGAGACACCCGTGAGAACGGTGGCTTGGCTTTCCGCACCTCCCGAACTACGCACTTCCAGGAGCCATTTAGCTGCCGCAAACTACTAGGTGCAACACGTTGGCGGCCTGGCCTGATCGTCCTGCCTGACATTTAAATGAAGAAGCTGAGCACTGACAACTGGACAAAAAAAACATATGTGAGGTCGCAGTTTGACTGGGGAGAGCAGCACGCACTGATTCAAAGGTCCTAGAAGTGGCCTTCTTGGCGGACTTCGCGGTGAGGAAGCCTCCAAATCCTGTGGAAGCCCAACACAAGATTGAAAAAGCTTGAACTGCATGATACTTGCATGAGATAAACAAGCTTCTGACAGCTGGGTCCACGCTTGTGGCATGATTAAACCGTCCTGCTGAATGCATGGCAGCTGATAGGGATACATCCGCTTCTGTGGGTGCGCTCTCGCGGCCTCTACATGTCAGAGGAGTCAACGGTGTCCTCGCAAGCAACTCCATCCTGCCAGACTGCCTCAGCTTGAAACGTGCCTCTCCTCATGTTTCAGGCAGGCAGATGAATTCGCATGGTGCAGGCAAGAGGCACATTTGTTGGGCTTCTTGGAAACCTCAAGCCTTCAGTCTGCGATGGCGCAGTGGCAGGTAGTTGAATGAGAGGTTCCAGCCTCATTCGTCATGCCCTAGCACGTGTAACATTCACAATGCAGCCCCAAGACAGCAAGAACACCGGAAACGTGATGACACAAAAAGTCTCTTCGCGAACAAGAACATCGCGCCAAAGAGACCACAAGATATCCACGACAAAGTGTGACTTTGAAAGGGTGGGTATTCTTAAAAAATGTCTGAGGTCTGTATGCTGGTTCTTTCTTCTAGTCCTCGTGGCTTATGGTTCTGGAGTGGCGGCATTTGTCTGAATTTTCTGGGACCAAAGCTCTTGGCTCAGAATGTAGCACCTCACTCCCAACTGGTTCCAAGTCGCTTTAGCGGCTCAGGCTCGCTGCCTTCAAGCAATCCTTTCAAACGTCGGTTTACCTGCTCTCAGAAGAAAGCCTGGTGGCATGATGTATCAAGTTTCTCGAAGCATGCCTTCTTGAGGGAGCTGTTCTCTGCCTTCAGCTTGGCCATTTCAGCCTGCTGGTCTGACAAATGACTTCACATCTGCATGCCTGACGCCCATGCCTGCAGCTGATGCATCTTCCGATGAAGCTCCTGATTATCATCAAGCGCCTCGAACCATCCCAACTGACATTGCATCACTAATAAATACCCGAACAATCTATTTGCGATGCTAGCCAAGATCCAGACAGTTTTGAGATCCTCGGCTTCATATGCGGAGATTAAAGGACCTGAGGAAAAAATGAATTTGACAAGTGCCTCCAGTTCTGCAGAAACTGTAAAATTTGTCGCCATTTCCGTGTTCAGGTTCCAGCTTTTCGCAATGCTCGTGATTTCAAGCATCTCCCGAAACTCCTCGATTTTGCCATGCTGCGCCTTGCAACAATGCGACTGGCATGTCTCAACCTCGTGAGCGCATCGACCGGCAACAGCAGTTTGTTGAAGGTTTCAGTAGCTTGCATTCCAGGTGGGGCTGAGCGGTCACGATCCAGAAAACAAATGGAAAAGCTGAACCTGGCCTTCACAATGTGTTTCAGCTGCTTGATCAACTCTTCATCTCTTTGAAGTCGTTTGACAAGAGCCTGGCCAACAACCACGCAAGCTGTGGGTCAATGTGGTTACCAATGTTACGCAAGCACTGAAAGTCCTGATATTGCTCAGCAGGCACGGCTGTTATGGAATCCAATAGGAAGTCGTCACCTCATAACTCACCAAACTCACATGTCTGGCAATGTATCCCAACTGCCATGCCAACTGTGCCAGCGGCACGGTTAAGCACAACACTGTGTGTTAACTCGTCCGCTTGGAGGGCGTTAAGCTGGCGTGGCATAGTCTGATAGCATGTTTTGGTAAGTTCATGCGGACCTGTGCCTGTCTGGCATCGAAATCGATATCGTCATGCTCGGCATGCATATCGGACAGCACTGCGAGATGATGCTGGGCGATGAAATCTTGCTGGTGTATGCCCTTTAACACCACAATGACATCCCACCGTTCCAAACAATCAAGGCTTAAGAAAAAGACGTTCAGCAAGGTGCCATCTTGGCACAAAGTGAAACGGTGAGACCTTGAAGTGAAACGGGACGTGCACCTTTGAGCACTGCAATTAAAAACCGACTAGTACAATTTCAAACACTGCGAACTTGTCACGCCACACATAAAATCTTTTCCATGCTTCCATCTGTTCCTGCCATTCACGTGATGAAATTATTCATCGTTACGAGGGCCAACCACCACACCGCCCAAATTGGTCTTGTCCTTCTACAGACCATGGAAATCGCGCATCCAATCTGGGAAAATAATTGTGGCATTCCCCATTCCTAAGCTTTCGAACCTAAAGTTGTCCCAGACGAATTCCAGATCACTTTGGCCAATCAAGAATTGGACCTTGCACAGAAAAAATTATTCCTCTTCCTGTCTGTATGCATTTTTGCTTGGTTTGCCAGCCCCGCAGCGGCCAAAAATGCTGCAATTTCCAGAGATCTGTCACGTTCATGTAATGTTATTTTCCAACCTTGGAAACGTTGGTCTTATCTGGTTTTGCGCTCGTGTGATGCAGTCCCGCATTGTTGTCTTGCAAATCTGTTCGTACATCAGGCGTCCGCGACTTCAGCATGTGCTGTATGGTCATCACAAGATGTTTTGGACACCAAGGGAAACCTCCGAAAAATTTGGGTAAGGGAAACAAACAGCATCAAACAGCGCTACGGTACTCGGCAAAATTTGCTTGGAGCCGATGATATGTCTGTTGTCGTCGGCGAAATCATCGCTTTGATGCAACGGGGCTGGTCAACATCATGAACTGTTGTTGGCCCTGTCTGTCCCTTTCAAAATATGCAACAATTACTTTGTTCGATGCTCATAACATAGGCTCACTTAACACGCATGCAAGCAAACAGGGTGCTCAAAAGTATGAGGAGCACATGCCTTGTCTCGCCCTCCCAAGAAGCAAGACAAAAACAAATCACATCACGAGGATGGGTTGTGCAAGCTGGCCACGCATCCTTCACGAGGTTTCATAGATGACTGGTGACTGCTGATGTGAAAGCTATTTTTCGTTGGGCAAAAATTCGTCCCAAACTCGCCAAAACTTCTGGGTCTGTAAAAATGGTTTGAATCATTCCTTGTGGCTGTACCTGTCGCCACAATCCAAAACACAAAATAATGCATTAAAAATTAAAATGCCTCATTTAGGAATATTGCACGGGTACTTTAGCAACTCGCCGCCAGACCTTGGGTCATTCATTCTGACACTATAACGCTCCCTCCTTATACCGGACCTCAGTACGGGGCTACGAAAAGTCTTTGGTGTGGCAGGTGATTCTTTAAGGGTAGCCATCATTCTACACCACATATTTTATTGTCTTCCAACATTGTACAATATTGACTATTCGCCATTTGAGCACACGGCTCCTACAACCTTGGACGTGAGACTTATTCGGAATGCAAGACAAAAAACAGCGTCGTCGTGCAAGACGCACAGCTGCGTACAGCTAATGATGTGTATGTATGATACACAGCCAGCTTTTGCGAGGTTCTTCATGTTGATGTCACATGAACAAGCCCCACAACTGTAGAATCCGCAAATAAATACATTCTTGGGATTATTTGTCCGGGCTCCACTAAACTGGAAATAGATCAATCGAGGCGGGGGGGGCGAGGGGGGAGGGGAGGG